ATTTCTGTTCTCTCACCGACCACTCCCCTCACCCCTCCCACCATAGATAACTGTTCTAACATATTGGATGTGTATTAATTTATTTGAATGTATTCATTCTTACAGATTGTGTAAACTGGCATTATCAATCTACATAATGGTACTGTGTATGTATCTTTCTCTTTTTTCACTTAAATAAATTTTTTAGATTTATTTAAGTTGCTGCAGGATAGTCTATGATCCTGATCTCTTCACTAGTGCTCACCCTATGCCAGGTTTACTATTCATGCTTTTAGGTACATTATCTCATTGGATTTCCCCAACAACATAAAAAAAGGAGCAGGGTGCTGTCATTTTGCAGTATTCCCTAACTGAGTGAAACAAGTCTGAACTGGGATAGGGGCTTCAACAGAGTGGTATATGGATGTGCCAATAGCCAGGTTAGTATTTGCTCAGCACACTCAGGGGCTGCTCTAGCTGCTGTTTCCTACTTCATTTCTTGCAGGTCTTTAAATACTGCTAATTTCAGCTCAACTGTCTTTTTTTCTTCCCTCTGCCAGTCATGTTCCTTTGAGTCAAATAGCAAGTGAGTCTTCGAAATCTCCTAGTACCAAATACCAAAGAAGCATCCATGTTCATTTTCTTAGAAGAACATCTTTATGGAAGCCAAGGTGGACTTATTGCCTCTTGAACACTGTATGCTCAGCCCAGGTGCAAGGTGCATGGTTCAACAGGAAATGAGAGAAACTCTGAGCTGCAGAGCAGGATCCACATCTTCAGTGTTCCAACCAATTTGTAAAGGGACTACTGCCAGTCATGTCAGTTCACCTTTTCTCAGGTGCAATGGAGAGATGCTGGGATATGTCACTAAGCATTGCCTAACCAAAACTGTAGAAGATGCTGAAAACTCTGTGGATCCTAAATATGCAAAAATTGATAGCCTCTTTATGCAAATATGAACCCCTGTATGGATACAGCTAAAGTGTTGGCCTTTATGTTTTTATTCCTCCATGAAATCTGGTAGAATAAATCTGCTCTTTTCTTTTTAAAAAATTTCTGTAAACTATTGCACTTATACCACTACATCCAGTGTAATTCCCAACTCATAATCCATACAAAAGCTCCCAAACCCAATGTAGGGAGATTTTCATCCAAGTATTGAGAGGGAGACAGAGAGAGAAAAACAGAGAGAGAGAGAGGGGGAGAGAGAGAGAGAGAGAGAGAAATGGAGGGAGGGAGGGAGGGGAAGAGGATGAGAATGACAACTTCAGTGTTAAAATTCTTCAGAGAAGTATTTGGTTATGATTTATCAGATCTTGTATTTTGTTTCTCAAGCTTTCATTTCTATGTTACTATATATTTGGAAAGAGTATGTATAAATGAGATTTTCAACAATTGATTATCTTTGGAATAGATAGTCAATTCTTTCTTATTCCCACAAAAGAATATATTCAGCATAGCTGGAAAAAAGAAAGTTGGTGTATAATACACTGAATGGTTCTTTGAGAAGAAGGTATCTTCTTTCATTTGATGTAGACAAGTATCTTATTTTATCTTCATAGTGAAACCTAGAATTAAGATCTAACTGGCAGCAGATAAAACTAAAACTCCAGTGCTAAAATTTAGCATGATAGTTACCTTTCAAAAATAAAAAGAGAGAATTGTGAGAGGACTGTAGTGGACTTTCTGGGACTGTGTTTTGATTTCACAGTCGTGGTCACATGATGGTATTTCAATCTATACATCTATAATTTATCTTTTCATTAGGTATATAATAATTTTAAAAGTTTACTTCAAACAGTAACTGATATTCAATTATATATTTTAATTTATAACAATTAAGAATGAGAAGTCAAATAAGTAACTTTCTAATTTAGAGACTACATTAATGAATTATTTATAAAATCATTTTCATCCAGTACAAATGCACAAAATGAAATTCCTAGATTAAAGCATATAAATAAAAATCGGTATTAATAATTATACTTGGATCCAATACAAATAGGGAAAAGAGCTGGGTGCAATGCAAATGTAGAACTGAGATTTATATCTGATTTGTTTTATTCTTTTTTACTGAAATTACTGGGGTAACAATGGTTAATAAAATTATATAGCTTTCAGGTGTACAATTCTGTAATACATCATCTGTATATTGTTTTATGTGTTCACCACCCCAAGTGATTTGTTGATTCTACTATATTAGTATCTTTGGGTTTCTTCTGATTCAGAAAATTAAGCATCAGGAAATTAACACCTTATGAGAAATCTCAAGTAAACATTGTTTTTTAATTATGGCACAGGGATTATTAAAGGTGGAAGGTCTGGGTTTAGAGCAGTTAATATTTCAATACAAACTATAACATTTACTAGCTGTCTATTCTTCAAAACATAATGTAAGCTCTTGTCTCCAGGTCCAGATGGCAGAGTAGGTAAATGCAGTCCTCGGATCTTTCCACCACCTCATCAAAATTACAACTAAACTGCAGAACAACTTCATTCAGACCACCTTAAATCTAGCTGAACAGAAGTCTTATAACTCAGGACATATAGAAGAAGCCACATCAAAACTGGTAGGAGCAGTGGAGATGCGGAATGGGCTGGTCCCACCAAACATTTGGCAATTAAAAATTGGGAACGATGAATTGGCTATGAAGATACCCCTTGAGGGGAAAGTGATCCCACCACAATCCCAGGGTTCCAGTGCCAGAAAGAGAAGTCTACATAATTATCAGCTATGAAAACTAGTCGGCATTCTGGCAGACTGAGATAAAAGGCTCTGGAAACCCAGGTGTATCTCTCAAAGAGCCTGCTCACGGACTTAATGGGACTCACCCACTCTGAGCTCCGGTGCTAGAGCAGCACCTCAAAAGGCACCAGGGACATAGAGGGAGGAATGGAATTGTCTGGCTTCAAAGCAAGGGCTGGAGGGATAGCTTTCTCCCAGAGAGAAGTGCTGGCAGAGATTATTATTCCATGGCTGAGTCCTCCACCACACAACCAGCAGACAGGCATCATAGCTGAGTCTCTCAACCAAACACTGTTCTTTCTGCACTGGTGATTCCCTGTGACCCCCACCCCACCCAACTTGCAGGCCCACCAAAGCTGTTTCTGGTGGCTTTTCCATACAAACAGCTCATGTTTGAAACAAGTCCTGGCTTTTGCTGTGCACTTGTTGAAAATCTCTCCAACAAGCAACATCTGGCCTTGGCATGCCCCACACCTCTTGCTACATGGCCCCAGCCCTGGCACTAGCAGCAGCCAGCTCTAGTTTGAAGTTTGGACATCTATTTGAAAAAATAATAAAAGAAAACTTGCCTAATTTGGTGAAGGATATACACACCTTAAGTCCGGGAAGTACAAGGAGTCCCAAACAAGATAAATCCAAAAAGGCTTACAACAAGAATGAAAAAATATCAAAAATATGAAAAATAAAATAGCAATAAATACATATTTATCAACAATTACTTTAAATGCAAATGGGTTAAATGCTCCAATCAAAACACATACTGTGACTTAATAAATAACAAAACAAGACCCATACATATGCTGTCTACAAGAGACTCACTTCAGATCAAAAGACACACAGACTAAAAATAAAGGAATGGAAAAAAGTATTTCACAAAAATGGAAACAAACAAGAAAAGTTGGGGTAGCAATACGTACATCTTTTTGTTTTAAAGTCTATTTTGACTTTAAAACAAAAGGTATAATAAGAGATAAAGAAGGACTCAGCAATTATACTTCTGGGTATTTGTCCAAAGTAACTCAAAACACCAAAATAAAGAAACATGGATCCATAAGTTCACTGAAGCATTATTTACAATCGCCAAAATATGGAAGCAACCCAAGCGGCCATCAATAAATGAAAGAAAAAAGAAGAAATGGTGGATATATACAAGAAATATGACTCAGTCATAAAGAAAAATAAATAAATAAAACCTTTCCATCTGCAACAACATGGATGGACCTAGAAAGTATTTTATTGAGTGAAGTAAGAGAAAGACAAATGCCATATGATTTCACTTATATGTGCAATCTAAAAAAAATAAACAAAGCAGAAACACTCACAGACACAGAAAATTTTGACAGTTAAGATGTGAGGTGGCTTACTGTTTGGGAGAAAAAGGTGATTATGGTTAAGTAATACAAATTGGTCGTTACACAGTAGTCATGGAGATGTAAAGTACAGCATAGGGAATATAGTCAATAGTATTGTAATAACTATATATGGTGTCTTATGGGTACTAGGTTTATTGGAAAAATCACTTCATAAGTTACATAAATGTGTAATCACTGGATTGTCCACCTGAAACTAATATAATATTGTACATCAACTGTAATTAAAATCCAAAAAATAACTAAAATGGGAAAAATTATTTAAGCTCCCAGTGTCCTCATTTCTTAAAAAATTTTTATTCCTCACTTGAGGATATGTTGTTGTTGTTTTTAATTGATTTTAGAGAGAGAGGAAGGAAGGAGAAAAGGTGGGACGGAGGGAGGGGAAATAAAGAGAGAAACATTGATTGGCTGCTGCCTATACATGCCCCGAAAGGTATGGAACCCACAACCTAGGTATGTGCCCTGACTTAGGATCGAATCCGCGACATCTTTGGTGTACAGGACAGTTCTCCAGCCAACTGAGTTACCGGTCCAGGGCCTCATTTTTAATAGAGAAATAACAATAATACCAACTTAACTGGACTGCTGAAGGCTTAAATGAATACCAGGGCCTTGAACAAAGTAAGCATACTCAACAAGTTACTATCCACTTAAATAAATACACATTATATAAAAATATATTTTGTATTATATACATTATACATTAGAAATCTTTAAAAAAATCTATATTTAGAATTAAATAAATTATATTAGATAAATTTTTCCTGTGTTTTTATGCCCAATTCAAATTATAATTCTTCAGTGATACAATGAAAATATGTATTACTTTTTTAAACTCAAAGTTTAATGTTCACCTGTATTGTGACATATTTTTCACATTAAAAAGGCAATATTTTTATTACCTGAGTCTCTACACCCTGTTCCAGTAGGCGTTTAGCTTGATTTTCCACTTCAAGTCGAGCTCTTGCGATAAAAATTAGATCACTTTCTATTACCTCGATTCCAGAAAGATCTACTCCTTGAGAAAGATAATCTATTAAAAAAAACACACACATGTTTAAATATTTCAGTATCAAATACACATCAACGTATCAAAGCATCATGTCTAGCTTGTTCAAAATACTATAGATTTGCTATTGAACACTATTCTATTTCAAAATCTGTATTGTAAAAAATTTGTATTGAAAAAAAAACCTATTTTCTACTCAGTGAATAACTTTATTCCAGAGCAAAATGTTTCAAATCTGATGGTTAGTAAAGCAAAAATAGGAAGCATGATTATCACAAATTCAAAGTAATGTCAACAGATTACATAAAAAGCAGTGTCAAATTTATTTTAATGTAAATAAATTAACTCAATCTTAGATATTTCTTAATTTGCAAGACTGCTTTAAAAAGTTATTCTATAATAACAAAACATTTGGAATAAATGTACATTTGGAGAATAATAAACTATGAAAAAAAAAACCTTAGCTTGCTTCTAATTTACATGATCATGCAGTTCTAACAGTGACTCACACTGAAAAACTTTCATAGTATTACTGAATTAAAAAAACTTGTATCATTTATAATTCTATGAACTTTAGTTATAAGATTATACATATTCTATTTATAGAATTAAGTATACAGAGCAAGAAGTGTGAAAAGATAATATAACAAAATGTTAACAGTTGTCTCTGCATATGTAGAGTCTGAGAAATTTATTTTTATTTTTTGGCTTAATCTTAGATATACGTAGGGTAACTGAAATGTTACAAATAAAGGTCAAAGTTTCATTAAGTATCTGAGACACCATTCTAAAACCTGTGTTTTCTATTTTATTAAGGTAAATTATTTCTAACAAAATTGATTTAGATAGATGACTCAGAATATCAAATGTGTTTTTCACTGTTTTCTCCTACTGTACTTTGCTATGTATAATGCTCACCCACATTTTGTGCACAATGTGCACGGGATTATTATGTCTGTTGTTATATCCATGGTATGTAATCATTATACCCATGTTTATGCACATCCAAAAATTTGGGCAAAAAATGTATACTATACACAGCAAAATACACAATTAGAATTTTTAACTTTAAGTCTTACTTAAAAATATCCCTAACATTTACATATTATTATATCTTTTTTAAACTGGGTGTCAACTACTAGGTAAAACTACATTACTACTATGTAAAACTACATTAAAGCATCCAATACAAAGCCTACCACTTAGCGACACTCAAATATCTGCTGACTGAGCACAATATAGCTAGTTCTACATAGGAGGACAAAAAGAAATGATGTAAAGGGAGCAGGCAAAGAGTGGTTACTGCTAACTCTACTTCAACCATGACCTTTTTTAAAAAATGTGTATACCTAATGGGACATTTGCCTATCACAAGGGAAAGAATATTGAAAATGCCTTTTAATCATTTAGGCGTATAGTCTAAATTTACTCACTAGGTGGACACACTCAAGTGTTTCTTTAATTGGACCTTCTTTTTATAGCTACAAAATGTCAACAATTTAAAATTCATGCCCTACAGAAACACTAAATGAGCTAGTCCCACACCCACATGTGGTGGTTAAGAACCAGGAGGGATATCTTGGCTGCAGAGGTCCCTAACGATGAGCCAGGGTCCGAGGCCCACAGCAGGCTCCCCAGCACTGAGCACCAGTGCCAGAAAGTCCCCACAACATGCAGCTGTGAAAATCGACAGAACTCTGTCCAGGTGAGATGGAGGGCTGCTGTAGACCCAGGTATCCTCTCAAAGAACAGGCTCACTCAATCACAAACATTCGTCCTAAGAGCCAGATAAGCCACAGCAACTTGAAAAGCGTCAGGGATACACAAGGAGGAAATGAATTGGCTGGCTTGGGCGCAAGGGCTGGAGGGGCACCCGCCATTGTTCCGTTGTTGAGCCCACTCCCAACACAGCTTCCAGGCACAGGTTGTTGTCATCTGTGAGTTTCCATTAACCTGCCTAACACCTCTCACCAAACCCTGGTGATTATCTGAAACCTTGCCCTACCCAATTCAAAAGGCAGGCACAAACTTCTTTTACAGGGTAATCCACACAAGCTGTGGGACAGACTGGATCTCTGCTTTGAACTTTCCTAAAATCTTTCAAAGGCCCAAAAAACTCAAACAGTTAGATGGCTTCAGCATGCCCTGGTACCTTTTGCTAAGTGGCCCCAAGCCTTGCACCAGAGGCAGCTGGCCTTGGTTCACAGCACAAAATATCTAAGGTATCTCAAAGCCCAATACAGGCAGCTACAAACCGCAGATCACTTTTAGCTCCCACCAGGTGGACCCAGGCTAGCACAGGCAGTGGCTGACCTAAAATGCCCTACATCCCCTCCCAGTAGGCCCCAGAAACAACATACCTAGTGTTGTTTCAGAACACATCACAGCATCATGAAATTAGCACCACTAATGACACACACACAGAGTGGACTCAGCAGGCACCACAGTCCAGCTGAAGCAAATCCTGCTCTGGGGTCCCCCATGACAGCTAACCTTCACAGCCAGTCAGCCTAAGTGTCAACTCCACCCACTGACAAGCCAACAGGAATCAAGGGTCAACTACAACAACAAAGCAAACAAAACTCACACAAGGGATACCTCTAGAGTACTTGGTTCAGGTAAACAGGGAGACGCACCACTGGGCCCCACAACACACCTACTATGTAAGACTTCGCTGCCAAGAGTGGGAGCTGTAACCTCATAATATATGGAAAGAAACAGAGGGAGGCAGTCAAAATTATAAGAAAAAGAAACATGTTTCAAATGAAGGAATAGGAAAAAATTCCAGGAAAAGAACTAAATGAAATGGACACAACATACCAGATTTAGAGTTCAGAACGCTAGTTACAAGGTTAATCAATGAACTCAGGAGAAGAATAAATGATCCCACTGAGACTTCAAAAAAAAAAAAAAAAGGCAACATTAAACAAGGAGACAGAAAACATAAAAAAGAACCAGACAGAAATGAAGAATACAATAATTGAGTACATCAGATGGAATGAAGAGTAGATTAGAGGAAAGAGAGGAAGATAACGTAGGAGAAAACACCCAATCAGAAAAGCAAAACAAAAAAGAATGTAAAATAATGAGGATGGTTAAGGAACTACTGGGACAACATCAAGTGTAACAACATTCATATCATGGGGGTATTGGAAGGAGAAAAGAGAACAAAAATATTGAAAAACTATTTGAAGAAATAATGAATAAAAACTTCCTTAACCTGGTAAAGTAAATATGCATACAATTCCAGTAAGTACAGAGTGCCAAAAAGGATGAACCCAAACAGGTCCGCACACAGATCATAATTAAAACGCCAAAGGTTAATAACAAAGAAAAATCTTAAAAGCAAGAAAAGAGTGGTTAGTTACTTAAAAGGGAACTCCCATATGACTATCAGCTAATTTCTCCGATAAATTCTGCAGACCAAAAGGGACTGGCATGAAATATTCGAAGCGATGAAAAGCAAGGACCCGCAACCAAATTTACTCTACTCAGCGAGGCTATCATTTAGAATCAAAGGAGAGATAAAGAGCTTCCTGAACAAGAAAAAGCTGAAGGACCCTGTCAAGGCAGCCCAGTTGGTTAACAGTGTCATCCTGCTCCACTAATATTGTGGATTCAATCTTCAATCCCCAGTCAGGGCATACACAAGAAGCAACCAAGGAACACATAAGTAAGTGGAACAACAAATTGCCGGTCTTTCTGTCCCCAACCCCACCCCCCCCAAATCAATTTTTAAAAGGTTGAAAATCTAACAAGGTTAATAGATGAAACTCTATAGGTAAAATTGAATATATTGTCTCATAAAGATAAAAGTAAAGCCAGGATTATTAACGGGTAACTGGATAAAGATTTTTCCTTTCCATTTAAATATATCATGCTCATTAAAATTTTTAAGGGAGCAGAAGCATAAAATGGAGTAATAATAGCCTCTTCAACAAAGGCTGTTGGGAGAGCTGAACGGCTACATGCAAAAAATTGAAATTGGATCATCAGCTGACACCATACACAAAAATAAACTCAAGATGGATAAAAGACTTAACTATAAGTCGCAACACCATCAAAGTCTTAGAGGAGAACATTGGCAGGAAACTCTCGGATATCCCATGCAGCAATTTTTTCACCGATAGGTCTCCTAAAGCAAGGGACATAAAGGAAAGGATAAACAAGTGGGACCTCATCAAAATAAGAAGCTTCTGCACGGCTAAAGAAAACGTCAGCAAAACGAAAAGGGAGCCAACCGTATGGGAAAATATATTTGATAATGATACATTAGATAGAGGTTTGATGTCCAAAATATATAAAGAACTCACACGACTCCACTCCAAGAAGACAAATGATCCAATCAAAAAACGGGCAAAGGACCTGGGCAGACGCTTTTCCAAGGAGGAGATACAGAGGGCCCAGAGGCATTTGAGAGGATGCTCGGCATCACTAGCCATCAGAGGAATGCAGATCAAAACCACCATGAGGTACCACCTCACACCGGTCAGAATGGCCATCATAAACAGATCCACAAACAACAGGTGCTGGCGAGGCTGTGGAGAAAAGGGAACCCTAGTACACTGTTGGTGGGAATGCAGACTGGTGCAGCCACTGTGGAAAGCAGTGTGGAATTTCCTCAAAAAGCTGAAAATGGAACTGCCTTTTGATCCAGTGATTGCTCTGCTGGGACTATACCCTAAGAACCCCAAAACGCCAATTCAAAAGAACCTATGCACCCCAATGTTCATAGCAGCACAATTTACAATAGCCAAGTGTTGGAAGCAACCTAAATGCCCATCAGTAGACGACTGGATCTAAAAACTATGGTACATTTACACAATGGAATATTACACAGTAGAACGAAAAAAAAGAGAACTACTACTCTTCCTGACAGCATGGCTGGAACTGGAGAGCATTATGTTAAGCGAAACAAGCCAGGGGGCGAAAGACAAATACCATATGATCTCACCTATAAGTGGAACCTAACCAACAAAACAAAGATGTAAGGAAAATAAGACCAGCAACACTGAAAGAAAAAA